GAAAGAATCAAAATTGTGTAATTTTTAGAGTTAAAAGATCAAAAAAGTGAAAAGAATAATCTAAGGATAAAAAAAATGCAAACTTATAAAGTTGAGGGATCAAATTTAGCATTTAACCTTTTCTTTTTCTTTTTCCTGCACGTTGAGGGTGACGTGGAGGGTATCATTATATCCACATCAGCTGTTTCCGTTGAGTTAATGTGCCACATGAGCAAAAATTAACGGAAGGACCAAAAAGGGGTTGGATTTGTGAACAATAAGGACCAAAAAAGGGATTTTTTCGGTACAAGGACCAAAAATGGGGTTTTTCCTATAGTAGAGGGACCAAAAAGGATATTTAACCAAAAATCAACTTATTAAAAATGTTTTTATTGAGAAAATAGTTAAAAAGTACTATACAAAAAAAAAATTAATAAATCATATAGAAAAAGTTGATAAGTTTTTTGTAAAATTTTGTTGAGTTATTAATTTTTTTTGTTAAAATATCATTTTAATCTCTCTATTTTAATAAAATCATTTTTTTAGTCCATCTACTTAATAAAACACCTTTTTAGTCCCTAAATTTTATTATCTTGCTCTTTTTTAACCCTTTTGTTTTTTTTTTTTGGCACACATGACTTATTAAATGACAAAAATTTTAAAATAGAGAAATTAAAAAGAGGTTCTCTTAAATAGATTACTAAAAAGGAGCTTTTTTTAGTCCTTTTTAATCTCTGTATTTTATAATTTTTATCATTAAATGTGTTATATGTGTAAAAAGATAATGAAATGATTAAAAAAATAAACCAAATAATAAGTTTTAAAAACTAAAAAAAATTCCTTAAGTAGAGAAACTAAACATAGATTTTTAATTAAAGCATAGAAAAAGTTTGTATTTAGGGTCTGTTTGGTATAACGGTTAAAATTCAATGGATAGCGAATAGCGGGTAGCGAGTAGCAGGTGGTGGTTAGCGGATAGCGGATAGTAAGTAGCGGATGGTAAATAGTGGATTTGATAAATATAACTGTTTGGTTATACAATAGTTAGCAATTATTTTTTAACATTAAATGACTAATAAGGACATGTTTAAAAACAAATAAGTGTATTTTTTAAAATATTTTTATTTTTTATTATTAAAATTATTAATTTTATAAAAAAATAAT